GGCGCGCGACGACTTGACGGGCAAGCAAGAGATTTTGGGCGTGATTTACTTAGCTTATTTAGAAGTCTTAGTTTGGTTATGAGTTTGAATAAAAGGCATGTGCCTATTAGAATATTAGTAGTTTGATAAGTCTTTATTTACAAGATGTTTAGTTGTCTTAGGATTTATTTACTTGCATGAATTAGGAGATCTTCTTAGACTAGGATTAGATCTAGTTGGTATCTATAAATACCCACCTATGTACCATTCGAAATTATGGATTGATGAGTTAATAGAAGTCGAACGTTTTGTTCAAAGTTCTCGTGTGTTTTCTCTCGTGAGTTTACATAGAGTTTGTGATAGAAATAGGACCAATATTCGAGTTTCATCACAGTGATAGAAATAGGACCAACATCCGAGTTTTGTCACACCTATCACAAAGTACGAAGGCGTCGGCACGCGTATTAGCAACCTATCAAAAAGGAACCAAGGCGTCGGTGCGTGTTTCGAGCAATCGAGTTGGACGTAACACACGATCCTTCATCACCGCGGCACTGGCAGGTGGCAGACCACACAATTGGCGCACGTGAACCCCTGTAGCGACGCCGGAAAGGCGCGGCAGTCGCGTGTCGTCTTGTACCAGCGTACCCGCATGCATCCTCTGCCCATTGAACCCTTGTACATGCCCCGCACCACCCGCATCGTGCCCAGCGGCCATGTACCGTGCTTGTGCACCCTCCAGCATCCCTACACCGTGCCCGTGCACCCTCCAACGTCCTTGCACCATGCCTAGCGACTAAGGACCGATCCCAGCATCCACGTACCATGCCCAACGGCCCCAGCCGTGTACCAGCAGGTCTGACCCATGCCTGTCCGTGCCCAACCGTGTCTGCATGTGCCTAGCAGCCCCGGTCCGCGCCCAAACGCCCCCGGCTGCATCCCCATGAGCCGAAATGCACCCGAGCCAGTCCGATTGAACTCGGTTTTTATTTTCTTGAGTCGTTTGATCGATTTTCAAGCCTTAGACCCCATTTTTCGCATAGATACCATTTTTAGCCTTTTAAAATGGTTTTTCAAAATTTTTCTTTAAAATCCAAGGGTTCTAAATTGCACAACATTCCACGAGCTACTTAGTCAACGATTTTTCGACTAAGTATGAATTCTCGTTTTAAATTTCCGATTTTCAAGATAAGTATTTTTGAAATGTTATCTAAATTGTAGGTGTGTGAGGAGTCGAGCCTCAGCCTACCTGCAACCGATCGTGAGATATGTCTGCTACAACTGATCAGGTGGGTGTTGATAAACCTTACCGTGTATGTTAATCTCTATAAATGTTTGGCTTGATAATCAATGTATGCATATAAACCGTTAGTCTATGAGAGGGTTATCTCTGTTGATGGATTTTTGACATCTCCTAACTCTAGCCTTATAGAGTATTCTCCTGTTGATGGAGTTCCGACAGTTTAGCTCCCTTTGATGGTGTGCCGACGGTTAGGTGTGATCACATGAGCGTAGGGCTGTTTTAGGGGGTAGACTAGTCAATTTGCTTACATGATGAGATTATGATTTTAAGTCTTTATATTGATTATACTGTATGATATTCCCACAGTGAGCATGTTGGTCACCCACTCCCACTAATTCCCCTTTTCAGGTTGAGCTGGTGGTCGTGGCGAAAGACAAGCAAGGCGGGGTCATTTATTTTCTGTTGAACTATTTCTTGCTTCCGCTTATTTATTTATCATTATTCTCATTGCCAAACATGTTATTTTTTTATTTGGAGATCGAACCTTGTATTTGGGGATTTTTATGTATGCTTTGATATTTCGAACTTGGATGTTGATTTTGGGATTTTATTATGAATTGGATATGTCATCGAATTGGAATTTGTATTAAGATGGAATAATTGCTAAAGCATATTTATTTTTGGCATGAGATGATTATCGGGATGGATGTATTCCCCGTTGGTTAAGTGTTGACTTAACTGTTGAAATGTGAATATTTGAGTAGCGCCCGTTAAATAAAATCTTTCAATTGATTTTTTGAAAATTAACTCTTATTTTTGGTAATATAATCGGCATTTTTCTCTTAAAAATAACGGGGCATTACATTCACCTTCAACATTGTTATTTTCAAACATATCTACTTAAAAATATATCTTATGATATTATCTCCTATTTCTTATGATTGACCTTCAACATTATTATTTCAAACATATCTACCTGAAATCCTATCTTACGATATAATCTCGTATTTCTTAACATTCACCATCAACATTGTTATTTCAAACATATCTGCTTAAAGTTGTATCTTATGATATAATCCTCTATTCCTTAAGATTGATCTTCAACATTATTATATCAAACATATCTACTTGAAATTGTATCTTATGATATAATCTCCCATTCCTTAAGATTCACATTCAACATTGTTATTTCAAGCATATCTACTTGAAATTGAATCTTATGATATAATCTCCTATTCCTTAATTGTAAGCACTCTCTTCTTATCTTTCAAAAGCTTCTAAATTTCTAAGTAATTTTTTTTCCCAAAAACATTTTGAAAACTCTAGGGTTGGGAAAAACTTCTCTTTTATAAACATAGCTCAAACTTGCTCTTGTACTCTTATGGGAACTCGCTTTCCAACTGCTTACTTGTTGCTCAACTCATTTCATAAATCATACTTGATATGGTATACTATAATTAAGGAGTAAACCAATTGAGGAGGCTGGTAGAGTAAGCCGAACAAATCACCTGGTCGAACAGAGTTTGAACAGGGTGGTCGTGATCGAAATCACAGGGATTAAGAGCCTCTGAATCTGAAATATGTCTTAAAATGGGTTTCGATACATAGAGAGTAGGTCAAGCTAGAGCCCTTAGACAGCTTGGTCAAAGCTCGACCTACAGCAGCAGATGGTTGTCTGAACAACCAGGACTCAGTCTCAGAGCAGTTCGCTCTACCTTAAATCGACCTAAAGTTGATCGAGCCTTCGTGAAGGTCTCAGGGGAATCAAATCCCCATGTGGTGTGGACAGGCGGCATAATCTGATGGGTTCATATCTCATAACTGTCTCTGACAAACCTTCAGTGTGTGTTGTACGACCGGGCAGCTTGGGCAGCTGAGGCAGCCAACTCAGCACATCTAGGCAGCCATCTAGAAACAGGTATCTCACCCCTATAAATAGGGGTGAGATGTTCATTTTTTAGCATTACGTTCATTATACTCTTGAGAGTTCATCTTCTACATATACTCATATAAGCATCGGGGGCTCTTCATCGGAAAACCCTCCAGTGTGAGAGATTTTACAGCGACAAGACGTTTTACTAGCGGGGAAGACGAGGGCGGACCGATTTCCAGCCGGTCAGAGGGTTTTACGTACCAATACTTAAAATAAATCATGCTAATAAAAACTTAAACATAGTTCAAAACCAAGTCTCAAAACAAGTCTCGAAATAAACTTAAGCATAGTTCTAAAAGTTCGTAAATAACTTAAAAGCATAAATAAATAGACCACCCTCACCATCGCATCCGGCACCAACTCGATCAACCAGAAATGTGGGATACAATAGGGGTGAGCATCCCACTACTCAGTGAGGAAACATAGTACGCAACATTCAATGTAATAACATATACCATAATTCTAGCATGCAACATGAAAAACTAAAAGCTACTGCTTCCCCCGACAGAATGGTACTGCCAAGGGTCGGGGTTCTAATCTCATATCTGCTTCTTCACCCTCGGTCCACTCCCACGCCACAGAAGCGGATCGCGATCTGCCTATTGCATGAAATCATATCCATTTTTTTCCGCAAACGTGCCTAATTTTTTTTAACTGCAATCGGAATATAAGGATTTTACTCTTGCTTGTGTTTTTTTTATTTATTTGTTTTTGGTTTCGAAAAGTGAAAGGTTAGCAATTAAATCATACAATTCATGAGTAGTAATAGTGGTGGTATATATACATCGTTAACTAATGTAGGTACATGCCATTTGTCTAAATTTTTTACGTGAAAAATTAGACAATCAATAAGGTGCGTAAACTATGCGAATAATATGCGAGTTCGGATATGAAATTCATGATATGGATCAGCGAAAAAATGGCAGAGAGTATTAAATTATTTGGTTTTTATTTGGATTTGCGGTTCTCAAATATGCGAACATATTACACATAATCGTTAATTATATGGCGTTATAGATCTGGATATGCGAGTCATAAACTATGCGAACATGTGTCGCATAATAATTAAATATGCGTCGTTTGATTTGGATATGCGATTCTGAATATGCGAAACATTATCGCATATGGTAAATTAAGCGGTAGATTTGGATATGTGAGACGTAAACTATGCGAAAAATGCCGCACAACATAAAATATGTGATGCTCGATTTGGATATACAATTATTGAATGCTAAACGTTAACGCATATGGTAAATTAAGTGGTGGATTTGGATATGCAAAAAGTAAACTAAGCGAAAATATGTCGCATAACATAAAATATACGACATTCGATTTAGATATGCGATGAATGAATATGCAAAACGTTATCGCATAGGTTAAATTATGCGGTGGATTTGGGTATGCGAGTAAGAATCTATACGAAAGTACGTCACATAATCTTAAAATATGCGACGTTCGATTTGAATATGCGATAAAAGAATATTCGAAAAGTTCTCGCATATGGTAAATTATGTGGTACAATTGGATATGCGTGCCGTAAACTACGTGATAATATGTCGCATAATCATAAAACATGCGATACTCGATTTGGAATAGCGATTACATAATATACGTAGTTGTTTTGCATACTTGTTAACTATGTGCCAGATTGAATATAAGAGACATAAAATATGCGAAAACTCGTCGCATAATCGTAAAATATGCGGCTATTAATTTGGATATTCAATAATTATATATGCAAAATAAATTCGCATAACAAAAATTATGCGTTGGATTTGGATATGCGATAAACAAATATGCGAATGTGTTTCATATAATTGTTAACTATGCGTCTGATTTGGATATGCGTTAGTATATATACAACAAAATCTTGCATAATTGTTAATTATGCGGTTCTTTTGGATATTCGATTTATATCGCATATAGTTTTGTGAGTATTGGGGTGAAAAGAAGTTTTTTTATAGGACAATGTGAAAGAAAGTGCATGTATATAATGGGGTGTAAAAGAAATTCGACCTAAATAAAATGCCAGGAGAAGCTGTGTTTTCTATTAAAATGCCAGGAGTCTGTGTAGGCACAAGGCATTTACAAGAAAGTAAGTAGAAATGATATGGTCCTCACTGACTCAAGCAGCAGCTCCAACAACAGGCTGACCAACATTGAGGCGGGAAGTTCCATAGAGTGTTTCCTCGAATCGGATAATCTCATTCTTGGATCCATAAGCAACTTGAGTCCTATCATCAAGGTTCATAATCACTTTGTCCAGCACAGATTGTTTGCCGTCGCTACTAAATCCACCCGCCTTCTCGATTAAGTATCCCAAAGGTGCCACCTCAAACAGCAATCTCAACTTTGCTCTCGCTGATGGGGACGTCACATTCGTGAAAATCCCTTTTTCTTTCACTATGATCTGTTGTACATTTTTCCACAAAAACAAAAAAACTCACATCACTCAACTTCTATTTTCAGGCACCATTTGCATACAGACATTCTCAACCTAATTTTTTTTTTATTTTTTTTTTTTTTNTTTGTTACTTAATAAAACAGTGACACACACAGTACACTACCTGATTTACATCAGGCACCATTCCTCCTGTGTAACGCAACGTGTATTTCTCACGTACGTAGTAGTCGATCAGCTGTGATTAAGAGTGCCACGTCATCAAACTTGTATTTCAAATTATCCGAAAAAATTAGAACCACAAAACAGACCTTGGCATAGTTGGGGTTGTCCCAAGTAGCCCTCAAGTTACCAGGGGAAAACATTTTTCCTTCTCCTATTGACGTAGTGTCTTTTACATGCTGCCATTTTCCTATTAAAAGGGAAAAATAAAATAAAAATGTGATTGGGTAATGGTAAGATAAGAAATAATAATGGTAATAATAATAATAACCTTCATCTAGCAAGAGAAATTCATGTGTTCCAGGAATATCTTTAAGAGCAAGCACATAAGTTGTTCTGGGCCCAAAAATGCCCATGGCAGCAGCAACTTGTTGAGCACCAGTAACCCCAGTAAGCTTGTCCCCAGGCCACACTCCAAATATAGTTCCCACTGTGAAGTTTGTGTCCACAATACTTGAACCATCCAACGGATCAAATGCAACGCTAAATCCTCCNCAATGAGATATTTTACAAATTATTATATGCAGACCTTCCGCTGGGCCTCCCATATCTTGAAGCTCAGGGATTTCCTCAGAGCAAGCATATTTGCAGAAATGAGAATATTGCAATGCCTAAGAATAATATAGGAATATGAATGAATCATTAACAACTACTCACTCAACATATACATTAAAATCTAATCTCCCCAGGAACCAAGAAGCAATTAATAGTACAGATAAGGTGATATTAATTTATTTTAAATGATTAATCAGCTACCTCAAATAGAAGCTTGTTAGCAAGCAAGTCAACAGCAAGTTGTTCATCTCCGAAAGAGTTAACGCAAGCCGTTCCTCCACAAGATGCAGTTCTTACTTTGAACGCAATCGTCCTAAGTGCTTCCCCCATGCACATCATTACCCTAATCAGCCCTTTATCCGATGTCGATTTTGATAGAAATTCTTCCTGTCAAACCAAAAAAAGACAGAAATCAAATAACGACCAAAGTAACCCGTTTTCGTGTCTTTTGCCACTTCTAAATTACCACACTTGAATCAAATTCTATGATTTTACTCCATTTTATTCTTTTATTTTTGTATGACTAGGTGAATTTTTCCTGTGTGAATATCCTCCACATGTTTGTCTTTTTTCGATCCAAATTACATGCTAACCTCATTCCAGATGTCAACATATGCTCTGTTAGAGGGCTAATTTACTTTCCAATTGTTTGTGCTTAGAAGGTTGAAATCAAGAACTCATTGAAAATTAGAGTAAGTCAACCTCTAAAAATATATATTATACTTGTACAGTTGAATATTGAAACTTTGCCAATTCTTTACTCTACTCACCAAGCTATCACCAATTTCACATTTAGTCACCAGTGCAGAACTTTTTCCCTTGGAAACTCTGACCGATGATCTCGGCGCGTAACGTAAAGAGACTCCAAATATTGAGCTTGTCATCAAATTCTGCAACACAATGCCAAAATAAACAATTGTATGTTTTTTTGAAGGGATAGTATGTATGTATATATAGAGCTAGAAAATTACAATTATTAGTCGAAAAATTATGACTACATTTAATGTAAACTGGTGAAATGAACCTTGGAACCAAAAAGGGGATGACGAGAACGCGTGACCAGCGAAGTTGAGGAATACTGTCGTGAGGAGACATTGAGCAATATGGATGCACGAGCAGAGCTAACAATACTAGTTTCCATCTTCTTTATTAATACGATAAGCAAAAAATCTAAATTTAAAATAAAACGGCTCTTGCAAACGAAGAACAGAGGTTTTTCTTGTTACCGAGTTTGAGCCAAGCGGGAGTGGAAGGGGATAGAAGATAAGCAGTTAACAATGCGCTGACACGTGGACGCAATACATTGGATAGTGTGCTGTGGACAATTTCTATCTGCTCTGCAATTTTGTGGCCCATATTGTGATGCGTGCGTAGAATGGCTCCGATCATCATCGTTTTGTTGTTTTTTGCAATTTTGGTAGCTAATAATTTGTGTCTCTCCATATATTAGTTTTATAATTTTATAATCTGAATTGTCAAATACCGCACCTTTTTTACTACATATCGCACCCCAAAAAATAATATTGCCCTTTACTCTATTTTCTAAAAAAAGAAAAATTGTCCCACCTTCTGACCTATTTACCGGCCGAACCGAGCTCCAAAAAATTTCGAAAAGACCTCCAAATAATTCCGGCGAAAAAATGTCATCCAACAAGATCGGTCATGCGGCGGCCGGCCGGACTGGAGCCGGCCGACTAGGGATTGACCGGCCGCACGGCATATTTCGGCCAGGCCATTGTTGGCCGCGTTAGGCGGCCGGCCAGGCCTCACCTGGCCGAAAAGACCGGTCGGCTAGACCCTAACTGGATTAATAAAATATATATATATATTAATTGTAATTATTATATATATTATATTAATATATATTAAATTATATATATATAAATTATTTGTACATATAAAGTACTTTGTATACTTTTTAATTAAATTTCATGATTTTTAATTTTTGTTAATTAAGAAATGTTGAAATATTTAAATATATTTAAATAATTTCATATATATTATTATATATTTTATAATTAATTAAAAAATTAATAATTAAGTTTTATTAATAATTAAAATATATTAATAATTTAAATAAATATATATTAAATTATATATATTAATAATTTCATATATATTATTATACATTCATATATATATGTGAATATATTATTATAGATTAATAAAATTAATATATATTTTATATTAATAAATATTAATAAAGTTAATATATTATATTAGTAAAATTATTATAAATTATGATAGTATAAAATATAATTAATTATAATTAAAAAAATATATATTAGTATAAATTATATTAGTATATAAAATTATATTATTAATTAGTTTAATTATTATAAATTATAATAAAAAATTATTTTAGTATAAATTATTAGATTAGAATTGATTATCTTATAAAAAAATTATTTATATTATGTTAGAAGTTAGAAATTATTGTGTTATAGATTAGTATTGATTATCTTATGAAGTATAATTTATTGATATTATGTTAGAAGTTGGAAATTATTTTGTTACAGATTTGAATAGATTATCTTAGTCAACGGCAAGACATTTTCTATAGTACTTCAATTAAACATTAGCTTGAATGCATTTCCTACTATAATATTCACATGAATCATATAACTCTTAGAAAAGTGTCAAAAAAACTTGTCATAAAATTCGGTCTAATCATACTTAATTAATCGGTATCAATGAATTACTCTAACAGAATCCAATTTTTTTCGTTCAATTTGTTATTTAAATTGGTATTTATGAATTTCAAATTTAAGTCATAATATTATTTTGTATTTAAAATTTATTACCGAGTTGAAAAGGAGCGGATTTAAGAAAGAAAAGGGACTGCAGTTTTTAATAACATCACTCATTAGTATTTTGTTAGAGATAATTAATATTATGTTATATAACATAATAATTTCTAAGTTTTAACATAATAATAATAATAAAATTCTATAAGATAATTTATTATAATTTATAATATAATAATTTCTAAATTCTAACAATAAGATAATAAATTCTAATTTATAACATAATATCTAAATTCTAATATAATTTATATAATAAATAAAAATTTGATTATAAAAAAATCAAGATGTACTCGTGNATATATATATATATATATATATATATAATATTAACTATAACCAAGGTTCTGAAAACTAGACCGGTCATCGAACCGGTCTAGCTACTGGTTCAATGGTTCACTGGTCGACCAGTGCTTGAATCGGTTGGACCGATATTTAATTTTTTGTACTTTTAAACATATATATAATATTGTATATGATAAAATTTATATATAAAATTTTGATAAAATTATTAGAAGTTAGAAATTATTATGGTATAGAATTAGAATTGATTGTTTTATAAATTTGATTAGAATTTATTACTACTACTATCAGAAGAAACGTTGAAATTAAATTTCGAATTGATTAGAATTTATTACTACTACTATCAGCAGAAATGTTAAAATTAAATTTAGCTATGGCACTAACATCATGATCCCAAGCGTGGTAAAATTGATTAGATTAAATACAAGTCCATTAGAGAATGAAAGTCAACGGCAAGGCATTTTCATTAATACTTCAATTAAAAATGAGTTTGAACGTTTTTCCTACTATAATATTCACACGAATCATATAACTCTGAGAAAAGTGTCAAACAATCTTGTCATAAAATTCGGTCTAATCATACTGAATTAATCGGTCTCAATGAATTGCTCGACATAATCCGACTTTTTCCGTTCAATTTGTTATTTAAATTGGTATTTATGAATTTCAAATTTAAGTAAGAATATTATTTTGTATTTTAAAATTTATTACCGAGTTGAAAAAGAGCGAATTTAAGAAAAAAAAAGGCGACTACAATTTCTAATAACATCACTCAATAGTATTTTGTTAGAAATAATTAGTATTATGTTATAACATAATAATTTATAAGTTCTAACATAATAATAATAATAATAAAATTCTATAAGATAATTAATTATAATTTTTAATTTAACAATTTCTAAATTCTAACTGTAAGATAATAAATTTTAATTTATAACATAATATCTAAATTCTAATATAATGTATATAATAAATAAAAATTTGAGGCCAGTGTTGCTCATTCTGCAAGAGAAATACGCCCCGTTATCTGCTGGTTTGATCAGGCGTCTCGTTCCTAAAGATACAACAACTGACATCTTGAAGGTTGAAGCACACCAACCTTTCCATTTTTAGCGAACTTACACGGAGTCGAGAACTGAGCACTGGTATGTTACGATGCGTGAGACTATGGAGTATGCATATGAATAGATGATACTCTAAGTGTCTCTGCAGTTTCACGACATGGCCTATTTATAAGACTTCCAGCCAGTAGGGGATGACCTTTGATCTTCAGCCCAGTAACAGCCCAACGAGTAACAACCCACTTATGGCTATTGTAAACAGGCAAAAACGGTCAGACCGTTTTTCAGTTGTTAAACTCACATTCACTCCACTTGATAACTATCAAAACGGTCAGGTGGAACAAGTGGAAGGTCACACACGTCAAGGTTCAGGAAACCTAGTGAAGGTCACATAGGTTGGGTCAAAACCCGAAACCAAATCTAACTCGGTTTGGATTTTAATTTAGGCCACAATTTTGCAAATAAATTTGCATCAAAAAGATTATAGGGACTAGGCTCAAGCCCAGCACCAAACCTAACACCGCTCAAGTCCACCCACAGTCCAATTGCCAAGGACTAAGGTCCAAGATCCATATCTAAGGCCAAGGCGTGTGCCCGTTCCGATCCCGCGTGCACGCGCGTGCGCACATGTGGCCGAGATCATCACCAACACTTGGTGCATAACTTAACTTTATTTTTGTTGTGACCTCTCAAACTCTCTTTAATACAATGAAGAGGGTTAATTTCATTTAAGAGTACAATGTGGAAATGACTCATAGCCCTTCAAAACTCCCACCAACGTTTATTGTGTCCATTAATGACTAATTTTAATAATTTATTTCTCACCAACGTAAATAAATTTTAAGAAAATAAATATACCACGAGCATCAACACGTAACATATAATGTTTGTATACAATTTAATTCAATCAGAATTAAATATTTAGCCACAAAAACTCGATCGAAACTAAGTCAAACCCAATTTTTTCATAACTCATTTTCCAACAAATTGTTGTTTGAAAAATACAAACAAAGCTAGCTGTAAATAGCAAGTGCATTACATAATTTAGTTTCAGACATCATTTTAAATTTGTAAAAAATGCTAAAGCTTTTGTTTCGAATAATATCATATAAATAAGTGAGGGTAGAGAGAGNAAAAAAAAAAAAAAGAAGAAAAGGAATCATAAGTTGGCGAAAAGGTGATAATTACTGGAATCGACGACAATCAACCTGAAGGCAGCAACCACGGCCGCGAGTGAAAGGCAGCTGAATAAAACAACGTTAATCCAATGCCAACTCTTATTGAAGGGAGTGAGGTTGTGGTTCTTGGCCACAAGGTACATGTGGTTGGCAAGGATGAATGTGAGAGGGAATGTGCTGACTGCACCCGTTAGGCTCATGAAATCACCCAAAAACGGCAAAAGGGCTGACACAAACGTTGTCAGGGCTAAATAGCCCCCTCTCACAGCCAGCCGGAAGGACAGGTTGCGTATGGTTAAACTGCTTCCTTTAATTCCATATTTGGTGTCAAGGTACTCGTACATAGGGCTTGCAAAGATCTGCCAAATAACCAAAAAACATGCAAGTATATTACTGTTGAGTGAAAGTTGAAAATGCACTCAGTTCTGAAATAGGACTTTCGCACACGTTAAAAATTATTTTGTGATCCGAGTATTTTCAAATCAGTCGTTTATTCATAATGCAGAACTACAACAAGAAGTTGGCAATGGACAATACTAACGAGGTTTTCAAAACACACTCATAAAAAGTGAAAATAAAAAGGAGTTTTTAGCTTCTATTGGCGGAAAATTTGTGTATCATCCTCCCTAGAAGCTGAATATTGATCTTTGTTTACTTTTGTAGTGTTTTTGCACTTTGCAGACACTCCCTACAAACACCTCAGGCAAAAACTGAAGGTATTCTTGTAAGCATTTGAAAAGATTCCTAACAGTCACATAAGGAACAAACTAAAGGAGTAGCTGTTCAAGAATTTTACAGAGAGTTATAACAGTGGAACGATAAAATAATAATAAAGAAAAAGAAAAAGAAAAAGAAAAATAATTCTTACATGCAGAGCTACAACTGTCTGCAAGAAAGCTGAAACATTAGCCAGCGTCTTCAACCAAACTGGGCCATTAACATTATTGAGAAGGTAGGCCGATGTGCTCGATCCATAAGCCCAGTATCCAACAAATGTAACAGCATACATAGGCAAAACTCCGACAGTGAACTGGAAGTACAGAGCCTTCATCATGTTCTTAACAACTGGTTGTCTAACTGTCGCCTGCCAAACAGATAAAATGATGATCGACCCTCATTCTTGAAAGCATTAATAGTTGTACACATCACAAAAATCAATGAAACTAACTCCTACTGACTTTCAGAAAAATAAAAAGGAAAAGAAAAGAAGACCAATAGAAAAATCACAACAAAAATTTAGTTATCAGACACATTATTGATGCCTCACAAAGAAGCATAGGTGACAGGGAAAGGAAAAAGAAAAAGAAAACGCACAAGGCTAATTTAATCCCTGAGATTGATACACAGCACCGATATTTTTATATATCAAACCATAAATGAAAACTTAAAATCATTGGATAATTATGTCAACCTTACTTGAAAAGTTCAACCAGGTAATAGCAGTGTAATCCTCTATATTTAGCTATTTGCTTGAGGAAATATAATGACTGTTCCAACTATAATGCAGTTAAATTTAGGCTGAGCTTCATCGATGCCACAATATACAAAATCGTTTTGATTTAGCATTAGCATTAGCATTGCTTTCCATGCAAAATGCATTCACAAAGCATTAATTATAATATATGTAAGTGATTTGCAATTCCTACTCACTTGTATTTCCGGAAGCATTCCGGTATTGAAGGCAAAAACAAGATTAGCTGCTGCTCCAATAGTCGTAAAAATCTTGCTTCCCGACGTTCCTTGAATGGTGTAATCTCTTGGAGGAGCTTCAATACCTGAAAGAAATGCATAAATCACACAACCCTCTGTTACAGGAACCTGTTATCAAGTCAAGACATGCACACTTCCTTTATAAAGGTTTTTTATAAAAACAATCAGCCTAAGTTTAGAAAATTCAAAACCTTTGGAAACGCTTTTTAATATTACATTTAGATAAAGATAATCACTAAATTTTATATCCATGAAAAATCTGTAAGGCCACATAAGGAAGGGAGGATCCGTATGTATAGGAGACAACAACTCCAAGAAAAAGGCTAAACGTGAGAATACACATGTTTTGAAATCATTGATAAAATTACACTTGACAAACAGAAGAGTCAACCTTACCATCTTTGAGAGCCAGAGCAAATCCCACAACAATGTACATCAGACTACATAATGTTGAAAATCCCAACCAAACACCAAGTGCAGACAAATGCGGTGTGGCAATGGCAAATAGACCACAAGCTAAGCCAGCGATGGCTATAAAGTAAGGAAGCTTCATGATATCATCATCTCTGAAAAGGACATAGGTAGCCTGCAAATAATGTCAAAAGAACAAAAAATAAGAAACAATAATCAGCTGAAGGCTTCGTGTTGCATTTTTGACTTATTTCACATTTCTGCATGCCATGACAAATAACTTTTCCAAATTGGTAATGACAATCACTTACGAAAACTAGATCATATGAGAGAAAAAAAAATAAATCATGGATAACTACAGAATTTCCAACTTATGCAGGGAAGAAAAGAAAAGTAATATCGAAAGAGTTTCCAGCACAAGCAACAATGAAGTTTCTCAAACATGCAAGTGAGAACAAATTATGTCACCTTAAGTGCACTTCCAGCTAAAATAATATACCCAACATTGATCATAAAAAGGTTAGCGTACTGGAGGGCCCATGTAAGATAATAAGCTTTTTCACCTGCATTACCAACCAAAGCCTCAATGAAGTAAAAATAAAAGAATTTTCTAAGAACACAGAGAAGAGGATTAATTTCATCATATTAAAAAATAGAAGCTTTTCTTTCACAATGTTCTCTATTTTCCTCTTACATCATACCATATATGAATCCAGCAAGGTCCCTGTATCTGATATGCCTCTTTCCTCCAAATTCATGAAGCTTAGCAACTAGAGAATTTGCATATAAGGATATCATAGTCGCTAGAATTAGTCCCACCACACCACCAATCCAACCCAATGGAACCATGATAGTACCAGAATACCCCAGCACATAGGCACTATTGATCCCAGTTGTGAGAACAAATGCCACTTGAAACCACGAATCTACATTTATTAAACAGGTGAATATAAAAAAGTATTACATTACTTCAACAAAAAAACAAAATGAAAGAAAGGGAGAAACTAGAAGGCCCACATACAAGACTCCCCTGTGGCTAGCTGGGTAAATCTTTTTTTGACTCAAGTTTTACAATCCATTCAAACATGAGAGGTGGATGGTATTTACACTGTCAGAACCAGAATTTATCAAGCGTGGTAAAGAACAATATCAGTAACTTATTGAAGAAAATATTTCACCCGTATTTAGGAAGAAACTCATATACACATAACAGTAGACCATAGAAACAATACTGCCAAAAATAGATTCCTAAGTTTTTTTTATCCTTCTCCGTCTTACCAGCAGCATGAAAATTGATTTCTCTAACCTTCATACTACATGAAAGATTATTCATATCACAAAACGGACACGCATACACAAAGGACCATTCCCGTCAAAAACGTAAAATATAAAAAGCACGCCCTAAAATAAACATAAAAAAGGCAAGCATATAACCATGATCGAAAACACAAATCCAAAACTGATATAAGATACCATGACTAATCTGATGGGCAGTCTCCGGAATTTCAACGGTGACGTCACTGGAAAGAACCTTCCCGTGAGACCCCGATCCAGAAACGACGCCGTTTCCTTCCTGGATTTCCATATCTCTCACTCCACCTCCCAATAGCCGCAGTCGCACCTCTTCGACAGCCCTTCTTCTCTCCCTCTATTTTGGTACAAACATGTTCGTCAACAACACCATACCTGCGCGCCGCGCGCGNAAAAAAAAAAAAGAAGAGATAGCGTATACCTGCGTGCGTATTCACGGACGAGCGAATGAAAAGGGTTGACGACGAGAGGATGCCGGCTATCGGGGTCTTCCTTAATGGCGGGCGTTGTTCCACAAACAGCGTTGAGGTTTGGAGATTGAATTAATCCATCCATCTATTGTTCGTAAATTTTACTCAACCTTGGTCATACTTTGACTATTGACCTATTTTCGGTAAATTGATTGAGTAGAGGAAATTGGTCCACATACATGACCTTTTCAAAACTAAATAGGGATTGTCTAGGGTTAGGTACCCCTTGTACCAACTTAACATCAGGTACCCCTATTTCATTCTTAGATTGCCTAAAAAACGGAAATCAACGATGGATTTAAGGGTACAAGACAAAAAAGAATTTTGGTAGCATTGTACTTTGTCTCGTACCCCTCGTACTGGTTAAAAATCTATTATACCCTTCGTACTCCTTGTACCTATTTTACTTATTCTGAAGCCCCTTGTACCTATTTTATTTATTCTCAAGGCCCTTGTACCTGTTATATTTATTCTCAAGCCCCCACATAGTTATCTAATTTATATAACAATCCTACAAAATTCAAAAACAATTCATCACAACTACGATTCCAATTCTTCTTCTTCATTTGGAANACCGTTCTTCATCTTCTTCCTCATTTGTTGTTCTACGATTCGAACGTATATTCATTTGGAAAAAAAGAACTGCACATCCCAACATATATTCGAACGATTTACGATCAATATGTATCTTGTCGACAGAATTTTCTAAATAGAGATTTCAATCGCACGCACGATTCATTGAGGTACTTTATTTCGAATGTTTTGTATGATTGTAAATTATTGGCATGCTTCTAATATTCTTTGTGAATTTTGTTGTGAAAATTTTCGCTTTGGCTGTACATCCTTCTATTGTAATTGAATTTTACGAATAATTATTTGATGTGAGGAGGTGGATTTGTTAACTAGCGGTTTGATTGTTGCTAACTTGGTTTTGTTGTATTTTTAAAAGCACATTACGTGTTTGATGTAATGCCTTACTCGGGATAACAAAAACAAGAAGGTAGTTTACCTAAATTATTTTGCTTATGTTCAGCTGATTTGCTTTTACAACTTTGCTTATAACTTTGCATTGTTTGGTATTTACTGATACATTTTTGTTCAAGGAAATATTTATGAAGCATTTGTTTTTTGNTATTTATGAAGCACTTTGATTTGAAAAAAAAAAAACAAACATCTGTTATTTATGTTTATGGCAATGACATCCTAATTGTTATTTGATCACGTTACATGGAATGAATATGCCACCATAGTTGTTTCAAGGATTGGATATGCCATCTTATTTTGGTGATTGAATCAACAAATTAAGAGAAGAATTACATTGTCCCTCATTGTTATGTGGAAGGTTACATGGGCTCTGCCTACCAAGAGCAAATTAAAAAACTTCATTTGGAGATGTTGGCATGAGTCTGTGGGGACTATGGTTCAACTGAAAAAGAGATGAATTGAATGTGGTGTCATCTGGTGCTGCTATATGGACAACAGTCAACAGGGAAGCTGTAATGTGTTGCTTTGTGCATTTGGAAGCATGGGATATGAGAGAATCTGTGGATGAATTGAAGTCTTTTTGCTCTTCTGTTCATTCTCGTAGTTTTATTTTTGATAAGGATATTTGTATATATATTCATATAATATATATTTATATATGGAATTTAAACTCCCTTCCCCTTTCTATGACTGCATGGTTTTTGAGATTATATTTATATATGGTTTTTCTGATTTCTATTTCTTATTATTTGAGATTATATGGTTTTTGCTTCTTTAGCCCTATCTGGCTAGGCTATGCAAAGAAACAACTTGGCTGTTGTTTTTTTCTTTTTTTACCTTTGAGACCCAGACCCATTTACTCCTCGTTGATGTAAAACAATCTTAGCTTAATATATTTTCTGATTTAAATGTGGAAAAAAAATAATCATCAAATGAAGCAACAAGAACACTACCTTGCTTCTGGATCAAGAAGCAACATCTTTTGCAATTCACACGATTCAATATTCATGGTAAGAATCTATATGTGATGAAAAAAATAACACCTCGCATTATCTCTTAAACTAAACAATGGACCCTACTTTCTAGAGGGCTGGGAAAGAATATGTGAAGGATGCAGCTGCAATGTTGGATTTTGAGTTCACAGAAGGAGGGCTTACATATGTAACATGTTCATCTTATTATAGCACATATTCATTGTATTATATAACATATTCATCTTTTTTTTTTTACATGTTCATCTTATAATTTTTAACATGTTCATCTTAATTTATAACATGTTCATCTCAAATATAACATGTTCATCTTATTATATAACATATCCATCTAATTACGTAACATGTTCATCTTCATTTTTAACATGTTCAATGGATTATGCAACATATTCATCTCATAATCCAACTTGTTCACCTTAGTATGTAACATGTTCATCTTACTATAGCACATATTCATCTTATTATATAACATATTCATCTTATTATATAACATATTTATCATAATTTTTTACATGTTCATCTTAATTTTTAACATGTTCATCTCAAATATAACATGTTAATCTTATTATATAACATATTCATCTTATTATGTAACATGTTCATCTTCATTTTTATTCAATGGATTATGCAACATATTCATCTCAATATCCAACTTGTTCATCTTAGTATGTAACATGTTCATCTTGTTAAACAAATTGAAAAAATAAGAAAAAGTATGTTCAAGCATACACATTCACCTCCACATCAATCTAAATCAATAGACATTGTTCAAAAACCAAACCATACACGTTCACCTCCACATCAATATAAATCAATAGACATTGTTCAAAATTCCACCTCAAACGCCAAATCCCCGCACTCAACTTCGACTTTCCGAAAAATGATAATTGTTCCTTGAACTATTTCAGTATAATCGATGTAGTCCCTTAGTCCTGTTAAGATGTATTTGGTCCCTTCTTTCTTCGCTTGGACAATCCACTGCTTACCCCCATGACGAATACAAGCAGATTGAACTTCATCATATGTGCCTCTCAATGCTTGATTCCAGTACGAAGATGGAATCGTCTTTTTCATATTTAATTAAAAAAAAATGCATTACTACTAATTCAGTGATACTATTAAAATAACACATGCAAAGATATTGAATTTAATTGAAGATTAATCAAAATTATATATTTGCAAATACATATTTGCCACCTGTCGGCCGCGTGTAAGAAGAGTGCGGGAAGCCTTTATACGGAACCCACCAACAAGAGCTTTCTCTTCCATTTCATCCAATTCCTCATCATCTTGATTGCAAGGTCCTAAAACAGATCTAAGGCCTCTCCCAGAGCATGAAGTGTCAAAATGGTAGACAATGAACCTGTTTGTGCACATCGATTTTACTCTTGTGAGTGTTAAATTGAACCAAAAAACAAAAACCTAACCTGTTTGGGCCTCCAAGTTCGAAAAGAAGTATGTGACCCTCTTTAACAGAATTTTCCCTTTAAAGTCTTCCCATCCATCTGCAAACCCAATCTTTGTTCCAAGACGTTTTACTACAATCGGCCATTTGTATGCATCATACCCCTCGCTGTTCTGAAATGTGCATTCAATTGGAAGTAAATGTTCGACAACGCTCCTAATTGGATGGGGAATAGCCTAAGAAAAAATACGGATGTGATGAGAGATACCCTATTAGTTTATAAACGCATGTATAATAATTAGCCAATAAGTGGCAAGCGGAAATTAGGAAGTGTTGACGGACGTTTTCGGTCAACGGTTAAAAAGTCGAGTAATGAAAAGAAAGTAAGATAAAGACAAGGAAATACGGTTTAATTACGGTTTTATTAACGGATCACGAGGACGGCCTCTCGTACGAGGTCGGCACTTGCGATATACTTATAATGCTTACAAGAGTTTCTTACAAGTCTTTAGAGAGAGAAAATGTGAGTACAAGTAGTTGGGATTCAACAACCCAAAATAAATGAAGTGGGCTGCTATTTATAGTGGCCTTAAATGTGACACTGTTCAGGCACTGTTCACCAGTCTTGTCGTACAGTGTTCTTTGCAGAGTAGTTCGGCGCCTCCCTGACAGAATTTAATGCGATTTGAGGTTTTTCTCATCATTGTCTGACGGGCATTTAATGCTGACAGGCTTTATGTCTTGGCTAGGGGAAGTAGGTCAACAGGCTAGGACGTCCCATCAATTAACCAATGATTACCCTCCAAGTGGCATTATTATACTACTATCTAGATCGGCACCTCCATTGTAGAGACCCGTTCTGAGACTCCAGGCCGGCACCTCTTCTTTGTTTGTTCCTACAATTCCGGGGAATCTTTCTTCCAGCCCGTCACTCTTCAGATCGGCACCGAGGCTTCACATTCGCAATCACCGGACTAGCGGACGGACTCATGAGAACGTATAGGTCAAAAAGTATTCTGGTCCATCTCGGCACTTTCGGAGTGGACCGGGCCTCCGGTTCGGCTCTCGAACTCGGGTGTCAACATACAGGCCCCCGAGCTCAGAGGGGGTGCCTTCAGCATCCTCTGTGAGGTCGCTACCCAAAAGTACACCCGAGGTCGGCACTCGGCTCATACTTGGCGAAATTACCTACCATTTGTTATGCACATCCTTTCCAGGCCCGAAACGACGGGTCATTTAATGTGTCGTGACCGTTACGCTTCCTGTCGATTATGAAAAGTCGCGCCGGTTCAGAGACTTTACACGTGTCTTCTCTTCATTCGTCCTTGTCAAACGGCGTGTCGTTTCAGCGAAACGGCGGTTTCTGAGGCGCGTGGCGTCCACGCGGCTATCCATGGACTGTCGGATTGCGTTCGTCCCAGCCGTTAGATCAAGCGTTTATTTCGAATTTTAAACGTTGTGCCACGTGTTCAGCGAGGATTGGTCGGTGACCCGTATATAAACCCATCTTCGTCTCTCTGAAGGGGTTTTTTACTTCTGCGACATTTTGAGCGACTGAGTTTTCGAGCAATCCGAATTCCCGAGAAGGATTTCAGAGCGATTTCCGAGGTTTTTGCGACTTCCCAGCGATCTTCACACCGGTAATTTCGCTTATCCGAGACCTTTTCATCTGTTTTCTTTCGATTATGTCGAACTTATCCGACCATACCCCGAACCTCCCCGCCGGAGATGGCAATTTCACGGCGGAGGAGACCGGGGAGTTGG